ATATATATGAGGCCTCTCGAGACACAGTGGTTCAACAGAGTTCAACAGTAGTGTGGAGAGACAGAACCAGAGAGAAGCAGAGGCACAGAGACAGGCCAGGTTGTCTGTTTCCTGTTGTTGCAATAAAACTCAGCTGATCATCTCATGGAGTACCTTCATTCTTGGACCACGTATTTCTGTCTTCGTTAAATAAATATTACCATAACACCCACAATACACCAATGACAAGCGAGAGCTCTGTGATGCTGCAGACTTCCTGCTCCAGTGTTGTTCCCAATATGGAAAACGTCACAGAAAGCACACACACACACACACACAAAAAACATTTCATTGCTCCCCAATGCATGTTTTAGTATGTTTTCCTACATATAAGTCTGTTTCCTCTATTAAAACACAAAGCATTATAAAATAAAACTCCAGTTCCAAACAAAAACATATTTACTACAGTTTATTACAATCACATTTGTACAGTTTGGGTACAAACATGCATGCATGTGCAGTAGTTCAATATGGAGTACATTAAACTGAGTATTTGTACCTGTCCTACAGAGCGTCTGCAGTATGCTAATTAAAAATGTTCATAGATCTCCCAGCACTTGATGAGAGCGGGTAAACAAACAAATTACACTTCACTCATCGAGGAATAGCCTCACATAAGCACACATTCCCAAAACATCAGTCAAATCATAAATAATGATATTAACACTTTTTTTTTACAGCAAACACAAACTCTTTCACTTTGTTTCTGTAAAATGCAGAATTTCTGTCATCTTTCAATTAAAAATTTACCAAAAATTAATCAGTTTTACTGAACTGCAAGTAAATAATTACTTGTCAAAGCTCCTCATAAAAAAAGGCAGATTTGCAAAAAAACAACAAAAAAACAAGCTGAGGTCAGTAAAAGAGCTAAAGGCACTTCAAGCTGTACAATAAACTGAAAATTATAATCCTGTCAAAAGAAGCCACGCACTCACTTGTGCCAAGGTTGGTGTAACACACTTCTTCAAACGCAGCATCGTCTCCAATTAAAACTCAGAGGTTAAGATTGTACTGTATTTTTTAAATTTTAAATACGTCTCCAAGAAGAAAAGAGACAAAGTTAAGACTAGTGTTTTATTTCTCCAAGTCAGAGGAAGATTGCAGTTAGAAAGTCCACGTCTTTGGCCCGGTCACTCTTAGTRAAATCAACGTGTCCTCACTGTGTTTCACTGCACTATAGCAGCTTCTGGTTGAGGATTTCCCACATCATTAACTTCCTGAAGCGAGGCATGTGGCACTGAAAAGTAAAAAATAAATGCTTTAAAGACTGAAGCATTAAAAACCTGGACCTGCATCAGAACTAAAACACATTTTACCTGTTGAAAAGTGAGAGACTTTCCTCTTGCTATACAATCAGCGTATTTACAGGCAAAAACACCGCAGTCACTCCCATTTTTCTGTTGAGGAATTTCCTGTTTTGAAAAGAAAAGGTTATTAATTTCACAGAAACAGATGAAAAGTTACGCGTCAAATGTGTCGTTTAGCAGTTTAACTCACAGAAGCCTTCAAGCTCCCAACAGTCCATTTGGTGCCGTCAAGCTCTCTGCCTTTTCTTGCTCTGTGCTCCTCTTTAAGGTAGTTTCTGTAAAGTTAGCAGAATGAGAATATTCAGAGAACAATGCAAACAAAGAAACACAAAACAAGAGAAAGAGTAAAAGACTCACAGCAAAAGTCCACAGATGTCATCATGTCTTCGGCCCATCGAATCATAAGATCTCACCGTCTTAGATTTCAAATCTATCGCCTACAAACAAGTGATAGAAGAGATGAATATAGCATAACCTGAGCCTTTGTAAACATTAAAATCCCCAATTAGAAATTTCTTAAGGAGTAACTCACGGCCATTGCCCAGTGGATTCCGAGATGCAGCGGCACCAGAATTAAATCAAAGAGGAAAAGGTCAACAGCTTTAGTCCAGCGTTTCACAGCTGCATGCCCTCCAGCCTGTCCTCCTCCTCCTCGCAGCTTTGGGAAAAAGAAGGTGCTGAAGGAGTACACCTTTAGCGGTCCCGCTTCTGTAGAGCTCCGCTCCATGATCAGGGAAAAGTAGAAGTTCATTACCTTGGTGGAGATAAAAAAGGCAACAAACAATCCACTCATACAATAAATGTCAAATGGAGATCAAGAGAAAAATGACAGCCATGTTCGAGCACTGCTCAGATCACTATAAATCACAATAACAGTATTAGTATAAAACCTTCTTGAAACCTGCTTTGTTTTATAATGGCTCTTAAAATATTCAAAGTGCATTATTTTYATGAGCATTTTGAAGAGAAAWAAAGACATACCAGACAAAATAAAAATGTGAAAATRTGTAAGTGACACTACACATTTTGCAGCTCTGTTCTCACTTTAAAAAAGGCCTTTAATTAGTGCATCGTAATAGTTGCTGTTGATGAAATACGATAGCAGTTTATTCTATTAACATGATAAAATGGTCAAACATGTACGGTATGCAGTGCTACCTCGTCGTTGAGCCATCCACCTTCCTGTAGCGTTGCCAGGTCTCTCTGTGTGATGCGAAGTTTGAAAGCTGCACTTAAAACAAGGTTGGGGTCACTTTGACCCAGAGCTTCACTTATCTCTGCTGCCATGTCCTTCAAAACACAGACAACAGTGTGTGAAGAAAACACAAAGGGCACCGGCACTTTCTAACAACTCTACAATCAAATCCYACATTTATTCTCACTTTAGTCAGCCTCGGTACGTCCTCATCGATGTGCCTTGTGTGTGTTAGAAACGCAGGCTGTGTTTCAGTCGGGCTGRGGGCAGAAGTGTCTCTGTCCACTAAATTAAGACGAGTAGCTACCTCTGTAGAAAGGTCCACCTCTGCTGCCTGTTTCTGCAGAAACACAGGTCGAAGTAGATTCAATAATACATGGGTTACCTCAACAAGTTCTGACTTGATGAAATCTGTGGTATCACTGGTAACAAATAAATAAATATTAACTACCTTTGTACATCTAGCAGATTGTGTGGCTTCAAAGGAGCCACTGAATGGTGTACTAACAGTCATGCCACCCCACCTAAAAATGGTTTAAATCACAAAAATAAATATTTGTTATCATTTATGACACAAATACACTCAATAACAACAAACCAACCTGTCCTTTGTTGCAGATGCGTTTCGGTATGTAAACACAGCTGGAGCAGCTGTAAAACAGAGAATAATATCATTCAGAGCAGCTGAAACGAAAGGCAGGTTTCAAAAACAAGGCAACTAGACTGTAGACTATAGACTGCTTCACAAAAGACCTCAACCTGGGACTTAGACTCCTTCGAAGCGCCTCGGTGTGATTTCTGAATTGATTGAGGTGACAGAGGTCAAAGCTAACCCAGCTCTGTTGCAGCCACAAAGTGAGGAAGTAACAGAGCCGAAATGATCGGCGTGAGAAACGAAAAACCAGATTTGTGGCTCAATAACGTGATCACTGAGGAAGAGAAGAACAATACTGATACTAGGGTTGGGTATCATCGTATCGTGTGCAATTATTCGTCAGAAAAACATTAATCCATTATTTTTAGCACTTGACGATTAATACGATTAATGCCATAAAAAAGTTCTGTAATTTATTTATCTACCAACACAATTTAAAGTTAGATGTATAGCCTGAAGTTTGTAATTTTGACACAATTTGGAACAGATTTTTACAAAGCGCTTTCCCACTAAGTTGGTCATGTGACCAGGACATAAGGGTGTCCAGGGACTCCAGGGGATTAATCGTCAAATTAATCGTTATTGGCTAAATAACACAATTAATTGTGATTCATTATTTTTGCCAATATTGCCCAACCATAACTGATGCACAACAATCCCAACGACCATCAGGAGGGAATGGATGGTGAATTAAAAAAGCACCTCATTGTGTTTTAGATTAGAGCCCCGACTGAAAATCTGCACACTCGGTGAAAAGAATGACTCAGATGAGTATCTGTTACTGTGACATTTACAGCAAACAGCAGTCATCATAGCGAGACACTTGTTTAATTAACAAACCACTTTTTAAACATCATCTGGAGACAAATGTAGGAAATATATTTTTTTTAATTTCACCAATTATTTCATAAACTAAACAAGATTAACTTTGAAATAAAATAATGGTGACAGTATCTCTTAGTGACAACCAATATTTTAAAACACACCATTAGAGATTTGAACAATTGTTTTTAAGAAAAATGATGTGTACTGAGGGGGCCTACCTGTGCATCCCACTCTCCTGGATACTGCATCAAAGTGTTTTTCTGACGCAGTAGTTTTGTAAGCAGCTTGTGACAGTGATACACTGGAAAGAAAAGAAAAAAAAAGGGACTAATAAAAAAGTGTTTATTTTTAATATACGATGAAACACAGTTATGCCCTTATTAATACAGTGATATACTKATGCTGYGTTCAMACCGAACGCGATTTCAGTGTCAAAATCGCATCCAACGCTTCAAGTTGGACGCTTGTGCACTTTGAGGTCAGACGCAGGTCAGCTCTTGAAGCGCTGCACGGCAAGAGCCTCCCCGCCCCTCCCTCCTCTGTCGGGCTCTGTTTAATGTCGGACGAGGATGTGGCTTTGTTTTATTTACAGAGAGCAAGAGCATGTCACGTTCATCAGATAATTAATTCATAAATAATTTACCAGATAATTCAGAGACATTCTGAGTTTCATCACCCAGGAGCTGCAGGAGAGGCTCACAGCTCGCTTTCAGGACTATTTTTGTCCCGAGTCCAGTCTGATGAGCCGCTGCCACGCATTGGTGCGGATATCTCCTGTCAGGACACCGACTGCAGGCACTCGATTTCAGCTAAAGAGCTCCTCTCCATCTGTTTCAGGTTAGTGGACATCATTCAGTAAACTGTCCCGTTGGGAAATATGTCACTACGTCACACAGTGGAGTCTCTCTGATTGGTTGATGCGGCGCGTCGAGCTGCAAAAGTTCAGTTTTTCTAACTTCAGTGATTTGCGCATCAAGCACGTCGAATGCTCAGATCGTTCAAATCGCGCTGCTCTAATCGCGCTTGAGGCGCCGCAGMACTTCSCGACGCTGATTGAAGCGCGTCCACCATAGACTTTGYATGTAAACCTGATGCTCCTGATGCWGAAATCACGTTTGRTGTGAACGCACCATTAGAGACTTGCCCTTTAGCGCTCACTAAACATTTCCAACAGGAATGTGTGGACTATCTYACCTCAGAGGGAATTTTTACTGATTTATTTATTCAGTTTTTCTTGTTAGTAATTATTTCAGCTTTWTTATTGTTTTCATTGTTCTATTATTGCATCTTTTGACAATATTATTTTGTCAACATAAAATGTGGAACATACAGGTGTTAGACAATGAAACTGAAACACCTGGTTTTAGACCATAACATCCCTTTCAGACAGCTTCCTCCTGCGTCCACAGTTAATCTTGTTGGATGTGGTTCATCCTTCTTGGTGGTATGCTGACATTACCCTGGATACTGTGGCTCTTGATACATCACAAAGACTTGATGTCTTGGTCACAGATGCTCCAGCAAGACGTGCACAAACAGTTTGTCCTCTTTTGAACTCTGGTATGTCACTCATAATGTTGTGTGCATTGTAATATTTTGAGCAAAGCTGTGCTCTTTCCCTGCTAATTGAACCTTCACACTCTGCTCTTACTGGTGCAATGTGCAATTAATGAAGACTGGTCACCAGGCTAGTCCAATTTAGCCATGAAACCTCCCACACTAAAATGACAGGTGTTTCAGTTTCATTGTCTAACCCCTATATATTGCAGCAAGAGAAGAATGTAAATATGGARAAGTGTCACTGTTTGCTGTTAAAAATAAATACGAATGAAGTTTAAAAAGTTATTGTTAGTGTTTGAGCTGTTTGAAATGTGACTTTCAAGKAAAAAGAAATACTCACTTTTGGGGTTTAGTTTGGTTGAAAGGTAGTGGTTGGCTTCTGCTGTATCGCTCCGTCACCATCTCCAGCAGGCGCCTGTAATGCTCCTTATTGTTCTGCTTTATGGCCTAGAAGCAGAGACCAAGAGGATTAACAGTTTAAAAGGTAAGGAATACAAACTGTTAATGTTTGTTAAGAAGCTCTTCAGGCGCTGAATGATTCCAGCTAAGTGTGCACAAAATGCATACCGAGTAGAGTYTTAGATTATGCAGACTTTTCAGGCAACATTTTCCACCATCAACACAAATTTACCTCTTCCACAGTAAGACTGGGCTTGTAACAGCGGTTGTGTCCAAAGCCATTGCATGTTGGTTCAGAATTAGCAGTTCCCCCTCTGAGAGTAGGCCTTGAAGGCAGCAGCTGGAGGGAGCCTCTCCTCTCCCTGTCCTTTCCTTTATCTGGGAGTCCTGCAGGTAACACTGTCCCACTGAAACAGAAACAGACTCTGTTAAAGGATGTTTACATTAGTTGTACAAATACGAATTATTTGAATCTTTAAAACTGGATGGCTTGCCTGCATTTCCTCATTAAAGGAGGCAAGGAGCTCTGAAAGTGATTCTTCCCACTCCTGTCGTTTACTCCACCTGCAGGTTTATCTAGGGGACAAAAGGTAGAACGTTTATGTGAATGAAGTTAAAAGAGAACAGATTTTCTGTGGCAATATATGTTCTCACTCACCCATTCTCCAGTCAGTATGGTTTAGCCATGAAGTGTGAATCTCATCGATGCCCATTAGAGTGACAGGCTGATCAACAGAGAACAAACAAGATAATTAAAGATGAAGTCAAACAATTCATTTTAAACTTCAGTGTGTGATGTTGTGTACCAATCATTCTGAATCTAGTTAGACAAAATATCTTCAGAAAATCATGTACCACATCGCAGTCTAAAACAAGTTCAGATATTTGGACAAACCCCCCCAAAACAACAAGTGTATATATTTATAAACTTCACTTATACAAGTGTAAATACAGCAGACAAAGTAACCCACCTGTGTCGTCTCATGCTGACTCGCATTCTCACATCTAGTTGGCAGCCGTTTCTGCAGCCTTAGCAGACCAGCTAATCCATTTACTGTCTTCTTCACAAAGCTGATTGCTACATCTAAAAGACAGGCTACCATAAATCACTAATGACTGAAATTTAGGTAAGAATATTTTCATTAAAGAAACCTCAAAACATTGTAACTTCATTTCAACATACCTCGCCTACGTCTTTTGGCCTCAATTGGGTCACTCTGACAAACATCTGCAACATGCACACTGAAACAGAAGACAACATTTGGGTTGATTACCAGTACTTCTCATSTCTCCATCCTTTACTGCTTATCATTAGGTTTCTACAGCAACAGGTCTTGGAGAAGACCCGCAGGGATCATTAATGATGGTCCTCGAGGTCTGCAGCCCTGCATGTTGTAATTGTTTCTCTGCTCCAACACACCTGATTTGAATGGATAGATGATCGCTTCTGCAGAACTTGGAAGAGGTAATTCACTGACTGAATCAGGTGTGTTAGAGAAGGGAAAAAAGTAAAACATGCAGGGCTGCAGACCTCGAGGACCATAATTGATGATCCCTGCTAGAGACACCCTCCAGCAGTGCGATCTGGGTCTGTCCCGTGGTCTCTTCCCAGTGGGACGTGTCTGGAAAAACTCCAAAAGTAGGCATGAACCAAACAACTCTCTTTGATGCAGAGGATCATTCTTTCAGTCATGATCTCATGAACTGAACATCTTGCTTTCCTTATCAGGTCAGGATTATTTTGTATAAAAGTACACTGAAATAGACAGAACACAGTTTTTGTAGTTCTGAGCAGCAAAAACTCAATCCTTCACTTATTTTCATTAGAAACGTTGACCAGTCACAGTGACCTGTCAAGTTGATTTGAGTACCACGAAAGCAGTCAAGCAAGTCATCACAAATCACTCTCTATTCTAATATATAT